TCCTTGGGAAAACAAAGCACTTTTAATTAGAAAACTCCTATTCTACCCCTCTCAATAGCCTTCACTTAAAGGGTGTTATGAAGTAAAATGCAGGCAGGGAATTACTCCTTCAAGGGAAATAGAATAAACAATCTTCACCACCTCTTCGGACAGCTCGCCAGCTGACCAGCATACAGTTTGAAGCTTGTGGTGGCCTTTGTGCAGAATAGCTGGTCTTCAACGCATCAGGTAGCCTATTGATGTGTCAATTAAATCGGAGGGGATTATTATGCCCCTTTCCTTCTGTAAAAGAAACTCAGGCCTCCTGTGACCAGGATTCCTCCTCTGATCCTGGGAAATCTTGCGGTGGGACATCTGGAGGATGAAAGGATGGCTGAGATGGTCCTCCATCAGGGTCTCCAGGAACCTTGGTTCCTCTGTAAAGCCGTCTCTAAGGGAATAAAGGTCTTGTAGGTCATTTTAATGTGTCACCTGTCAGTCCCAGTCTGGCCAGAGGTCAGTGGTCTGGCCCGTTCTGTGGTCCAGGAAAGGGTCGACCTGTCATGAGCTCATGGGGAGGAAAACTGTGAGTCAAAGTTACCAACATGCTGAAGTAAAGGAGCTGAGGGAAAGACAGATCAGATGTTATCTTACCCTTTCACAAACAATAGTAGATCAAAATAAGTGAATGTAGCTTAAAGAACTTTAGATTAGAATTTGAACTTTGTCACAAATCATTGAATTATTCCATAATTTAAAACGTACCCAGTAAATTTACTTCCTTAGTGTTCGGTACCCTTATCACTTCTGCACCTGCAGAAATCCAAACAAACTTCTCCTCAGCAGAGGAGGGAGGGGGACAGTGTCTGTGTCAGTGGGCTGCAGCAATGTAAACAAGGGGAGACACTGCAGCACAGCCTTCTCTGCTGCTTCCACCAGACATGATGTGTGTGGAAGAAGAATATAGGCTTTCCATCCGATTTCATGAACGATGTTTCCAAGGCGAAGCAAAATCAAAGAACCAGAAAAAAATTTCATGAGGTGAAGAAATACCGAACCAGGGGTCCAAGAAGCTGAACCATCAAAAAACATCAACAAA